TGGCCGATCTCCTTCATCGAGCGGCCCCACTCCTCCTTCGAAATCATCTTCTTCTTGATGCGGGTTTCTTTCTTCAACGGCATTGTGATGTTGATCATCGAGTTCGGGCGGCTTCTGGTTTCCCAGAGCTTTAAGATCCGGTGACAATGGGAACTGGAACTTCCCTTCCAGGAGCTCAAGCCTTTTGGCCCTGAAAGTCCTGAAGGCGTCATTCTCGATGGCCTCGTTGAGTCCCTGCAAAGGAGCAACTAAGTACTCTTCCTTGAAGACGAAGCCAGGCTGGATATGATACCCGAGGAAAATTCCTTCGATACCCGTCCCCGCAAACTTTGACCTTTTGGGCTGCTTCTGCTTGGGGTCGGCCCAGTACAAAATCTTAGCTCCAAAGGGAACAAGGACCCCTTGGAAGTCGCTCCCGAACCTTTGATTCCATGGTACTAAACCGTTGTCAAGACGTTTACTAACGTTTAAAGAAATAGCATGATGTTGGGATGCAAGTGGCCAGAACTGATCAGGTAAACCAGATTGTACCAAATTGGCACGCGTACCTTCCAAGATCGTTCGTATTTCACGCTCGATCACTGCTTTGTTCTGGTCCACATACTCCCTGGATTTGTTGTGCCTAGCTTGGAGTTGCTTAACCGCGTAGTCGAACTCGAGAGCATTGTCTGAGTAAACAACCTTAACATTATCATCGACCTCGAAAAAGTGCAGTAAGTCTTCGTAACACTGCTCACCACTTTTGTTGTCGGCCGGGTAAACGTAACGGAACTTCGTAAAGACATCCTTCACAACATGTGCTACAGTTTGTCCTTCGAATCCGTAGTCTTTGGCGTCCTTCGTGATGATGTGGTCGATGGTGATGTGGTCACCGAACCCCTTGCTGTGCACAGTGCTAGACCCTCCTTTCTTTCTGGCATGCGGAGCATACATTTTGGCTCGTTGACATACCGGACAGAAAGGGTTCTTTGGACGATGGCTCAAAAGATGCTGCACGGATTCCGCTTCAGCTCTTAGAGACGCCTCGTCCTTCTTCGACTTTGGAATGTGGACCTCAACGTCGCTATCGGGTATATCTTCACCGCCATCGGGCATGGTAAAGACAGTGATGGTCATGTTGGTACCCTCAGGCACCTTACCGTAGACGGCGTCGAGCTCGTCCATGTTGACCTTGTTCTCCAGCTGCTTCCACTCGCCATCTTTGAATCCCCAGGTGGAACGAATTCGATACTTGGGGTAGCGAGGTGCTGGTGTTCTGAAGGTCTTTGGATTGTGGGCAACCTTGACGTGGGGATCACCAATCACAGTAACCCATCCAGCTTTCAATAGTTGCTCTTTCTTCATGCCTTCGAGAGGGGGATCCTTGGCTAAGATCTCTGCCAGCCATGGTGGATGATCTCCCTCGTCTGCCGCAGGTACCGGGACTACACCGTCTGGAGCTCCTTGAAGTGGTCCGGCTGCTGCGGCATGCCCTTTCGGGCAGCTTATGCGTGAAAATCCTGCTGCAAGGAGCAGGTGGGCGCCATTCGTTCACCTTCATCGCGATGCGCTACAGCAGCTGGGTGTCCGGAATCATTCCCAATACTGCTGAAAACTGGAACATTTCCCCGTAGCGTGCAAGTGAGCTTCTGGCCATCGGGCTTCACGAAGTACGGAACTTGCCCTGGAGGCCAGTAAAAACCGTACCCTTGCTGCATGCACTTCTTTCCCACAGAGCAAACCGGTGGGGTATCCGGGAGTTCCACGAATTCCAGGCTGCCATTCATTGACGGAACCTCGACTTCTGTCCTGGACGATGCCTCCACGATGCCATTGGCCGTATGAAGGTTGACTGGCGTTGCGTCGACTTTCCTACCGATCCCTTCGAAACACTTTTTCAGGTCCGAAGAGCTGATAAGGTCCTCTTCACTTCCCGTGTCGGCAATGATGTCCAAGCTCCGAAGTTCCTTGCGCGCTGGAGCGGCAGTTCCTGACATTATGTTTCCTGCTGCACAATGCCGACAAGCGAAATCAGGCTTGCAGCAGCGATGCTTACATTTTGTCTTTTCACCATGGAGTTCCGAGTACACTGAGGCCTCAAGATTTTGTGCGATGATGATTGCACACTGAAGATCACCAGGGTCGGACATAGGGCAATCAGCATTGGTTTTGAACCTTGCTACACATTTGCGCTTATGGGGAACAAATTTCCAACCATCTCCGACGCTTTCAACTGTGTGTATCTCAGGGCGCCTTTCAAAACACACACTCATGTCTTTAGGCTTCAGCTTGAAACTCGTAACGCCCGTCCAGTTGGGTAGGGGTGCTTGCTTGTCGCACGTTTTCCAATTGTACTGTAACGTTCGCTCTTCGCCGGTTTTCAGCTTCATGGTGATGCTCGCAACAGACTTGATTCTCCATTCTGGAACGGGGCAGCTTTGGGGAATAAAATAGCTGTTTCTCAGAACAACATGTTCCCTAGATAGCGTGAGTGACTTCTCATCAAGGTGCCATATGTCTGCATGCCTGCCGTCCGGCTCACCCTTTCGGGCGGCTAAGGCGTACACGCAGCAGGCAGCTGCTTTAGCTTCTGTCCTCTTCTTCCGGCTCGGCCTCCGCTTGGCCGGAGAGGGCGCACGTGCCTTAGCCTTGGCCGGGACAGAGGGCGATGCGGACTTGTCCTTGTGCAAGAACTTGCACTTGTCCCCATTCCTGCAAGTACCCTTGGCATAAAATGCGCATGGGATGCTGGAGGTATCTTTGCTGTTGCTCTTTTCTCTCTCGCGAGAACCTGACTTAGGCCGGTTGGGAGATCTCTCCCTTGAGGATGCTTTGGGGTCTTTCGTGTGCTCGTATTTGCAACGCTCCCCAAACTTGCACTTGCCCTTCTGAAACAACACGCAAACCTGCCTTCCCTGACGTCCTCTGGATGGCTGTCGTCGCTCCGAAGGAGCGGGCGCTGACGGCTTCGTAGGGGTAGGAGGGGCAGGAGCACCATACTTCGCGCCATGGGCCTTAGCAATCTTGTCCCTGTTCTTCCTAATTCGTTCTCGTGTGAGGAGATTCTTGATGCTTTCCATGAGGAACTTGTAGGTGTGCTCGGGGGTCCCCTCACGAGCCCGATCATAAATGTCAAGATCATACTTCAAGCGATGGGACTTGCGAAGCTCACGGAGGAATATGTCACGCAAAGTGGTTTCGTCTGGGGGATGCGATAGTCCAGCAATCACTGAATCCCAGTTATGCACGAAGGTAGCGAGGTCATCATTGATCAGTGCCACTTTCAAGAGGTCTTCGACCGAGTAGAGGGAGCCAACTTCTTCGTTGGTTTTAAAGTAGGCTTCAAACATTAACAGCACTTGCCTACCTCTCACTGCTCTACCACAGGTGGCCTCCGTCTCCTTGTAGTTGAGTATCTGTCTCGCAAGCTCGCCCTTCGCCACCCTAGACAATGCCGCAAGGATTTTGGTGTCTAGCGTGAGGAATTTCCCTACATCGTTGAGGCTATCTAGCGACGCACCCTTTGCGTACACCTTCTGAATCCACGCAAATGCTTCATCAGGATGATCGGATGCTGCTCGAACAGCCTCTCGTACTGCCGTCTTCCACGATCTGTACGTCTCCGCTGAGGGAAAATCCGGAAGTTTCACTGACTCCGCTTCTTTAGTCTTAGGTTTCGTCTCATCCTTGGTAGCAAAGTCCTTGAGCGCTTTTGCAATCGCTTCATGCACTTCATTAGGGGCTTGCGAAACAGGGGTAGATGCTCCCAGATTAAACCTCTGGGGCCGTCTTTCAAAGAGACCCTTCATGCTCTCTGGAATCTGCAACGGATTTGGCAAATCAGCATGCGTGACATGTGCATTACCGCATGCGGCACCCCCTTGCGGGGGGCTTGCTTCGGCAGTGTTCAAACCCGGTGGAGGTGCTGAGGCCATGGGAACAGCCTGCTGGTGCTCGGCACCACCTTTCGGCAGGCTAGATGACGCCGAAGCGGTTGCCTTAGCCTCATCAAGTTCAACCATCAAACGCTGGTTCGACTCAGCCAACTCCTGAATCAAGACATCGCATGCGCTTTCTTCTTCATGCATGGCATATATGAACATGTTCTCTTCATACTGCATTTGCTCTCTAAATTCGTTGCCTAAGAAGTCCAGCTGGGTTTCCCTGTTTTGGTCGTACACGACCCTGAGGTTAGCAAGGGAAAATTCACTCTGTTCGAGATGGGTCCTGAGGCGAGTTTCCGATTCGAGAACCATGTTACCTCGTGCCTCAAGCTCGAGATTGTGCATCCTAAGTGTGTGTGCGTCCTGTGCGGCTTGGTCAAGCTCCGCCGTTCGACCTCTTAGTGCTGCCTTGGTCTCCAGTAGTTGTTGTTGCAGCTCACGAACCACAAAGTCCATACGGTCACCGATGACTTCAAGCCGTGCACGATGTTGGGCATCAGCGTGTTGCTCGAGTTCTTCCATTTCTGCACGGGCCTGTCTTGTAGCCATGTCCAGGATTTCCGCATGTCTGCGTTCGGCTTCGATACGGATTCGCTCTGCATCCTCGTTTTGTTGCACGATGATCAGCTGCTGCTGTACCCGGTACTGGTTGAACTGTTGGTAGTTGGTCGTTGCAGTCTGATCATGTTGCGCATTGGGATCAATGGTCCCGTCTTGAAGCTGCAGAGCCATCGTGTGAGACTCTACGGCTGATAACCTGAAGTTTACAGGTCAGCGCATGAGGGAACATGTAAACCGTTAAGTACGCCTCTTTTTATCGGCAACTTGAGCCACAGTCGAGGGTAAAGTGATGTTATGCACAGCTCGCAAAAGGAGTGTAATTCCTACATGAAAAACTACACTGTTGGCTGAGCTGTGGGTCGCGGGGCAGGGTCGTGGGGGCTGGAGGTTCAAAGGTCTGCCAGCCTTGCTTCGGTAGGGTTGTCATGAGATGTTTTTAAGTTCTTCCGTCGGAATCCATGAGCCCTAACCCTAATTCCTAAACCCTGGACCCTCAGGCGAAGTCAGCTGAGGCACCACAACGTTCTTGGAAGAGAGGCGAAGGGTCGTGAAAAGCAGGCCCAGGTCCTGGAGTGTGGCACACAACGGCTGCGACAGGATTTGTACTAAAGCACTAGTCTGCGGCTTGTTTCGGCTTAGTTGTGGCTTTTTTGGGGCCAGTGAGCGAGCCTCCAGGTGGTCGCAGTCGAGGAACACATCGGTGCTGCTATATCCTTGCTCTACTGGCAGCGCTCATAGCCGACACTTACTGTAGCTCTTTCCACCCTCAACCTTGCACTGCCGAAGTTGCACCTACTCCGTGCGAAAGCTCTCATGAACCCCACGACCATGACCAGGATTCTTAAGCACAGCATGGGCAAGGGTACAGCGGATGTGTGCTACTGGTACGCCCCTCCCCTTGTACCAGGCCGTGCCGCTCGCCACCAAGATCTTGATGAGCCGACAGAGAGCCCCAGCTGCAGCTTTGTGATGGCAGAGGAAGAGACCTCGAAGCGAATGTGCTAGGCTTCGAGTTGTGGAAGGCGAGCTGTCAGCCTGTAAAAATGCCCCAGGGCCCGATTGGCAAGTTGCCTCCGAATTACATGGCATTCAAGGTTTTGGGTCGTCCGGAACATCTTGAGGTTTGTGTGAAATAGTAATGAAATTGTGATCCAAAATCCGAAGTCCACCATTGCTCAAAGGGTCAGGGACTACCAGCGGTTCGCGCCTAACCCTGAGTCTTAACCTCGCACCCCGTAAGTCTGGGAGGCTTACTGGGACCTGCATGGGCAGCTGTGACTTGAGGTACATTTGCGCCTCGGCTTTCTAGCCAAACCGTCCCCAAGCCCATGGCTGAGAAACTGAGCCTCCGCACCAAAGTACTTCTTGGGCCAGTACTGGCGGTACACCGCGTAGAAGAAGGCCTGATTAAAGCATGTTCTTTTTTTTTTTTTTTGTTTGGGGGGGGGGGGGGGGGGGCCGATCCAGAGGAAGGCCTGCTCGTGGGCTGCATACGATGGCACTGGCGACTAGTATGTCACACTCGCAGCCTCGAGCTTCAAAAGCATCGAACACCGTGTCTCTGCCACCAGAACCCACAGCCACCAATCTCCAATCTGAGAGCATGCAGTCAAGAAGCTAGCCAGCCAGCAATCATGGGCAACAGAACCTGAGCTGAGACACATCCAACTAGAATAAATGGCAGATCTCTCGGGATTATAAGGGGACGGTATTGGTAATTGTCACGGTTCCTGTATTGAGTTCCAGCTTTGAGGCTCAGCTGACCGACATCAGGAAACAGCTCCGCTTTCCCAGCATGCTGCAAAAGCGTAGGGCTCAAAGCAATGAGCCAACTTTCTTGCCTGCTTTCTCACACGTTCTGACTGTGCTGATGCAAACCTCCGCGGATTTGCTGCCGGGAGAGCTTCAGGTATGGATGGGTTAAGACTAGTGTATCCCCGCCAGGGTCGGGAAATGATGCGTGGTGAATTGTGAGGTGGGGAGGATTCAAGGCGAGAAAAAAGCTCAGGGTCGTGAGATGAGGAGTGGTGAAACTTGTCATGCGCAGAATCATCAAAGCAATGCACATGATCCACCCCACATGCCGGAGAAGAAGTGGGAGTAGATGAGCGGGTAACTTCAAAGGACCTCTACATGGTCCCCATGTCTTCCGTCATACGTCATATCAGCACCATTTTGTACATTCCCTGAACTTCTGTTTGCTTAAGAGCCCCCCCCCCCCCGCCCCCCAAATATAAAAAAAAACTACAAATACTAATCCCTATCTTGCCCTTATAACGAAGAGCATGCTTTTCCTTTCTGGGCGGTTTTCTTAAGCAAAGTAATATAGTGACTGTCGTGAAAACCCGCTGGAGCCCAGCTGCAGCGATGCAGAGGAGCCATCCCAGCACCTCTGAAGACTGCTCCTGCCAGGGGTGGTTTTTGACTTGCAACAAAAGGGTGACGAAAAAAAAACAAATGAAGGCGCCCTTCTGGGGGATTTTAAAGGGATCTCAGAAGGGAATCTGAACTCTAAAAAAAAAAGGGGAAGAAGGGCCTGCTCTGAGTCCTAGGTGAATAGTGCGTTCGGGGCGTGCCTCCCTAAGTTCAAGAGACAGGGGCTGAGTGCCTTGAGGATATTTCTTGGGCTTGTGGCTTGTGTGTAAGACCTGAACGCTCAGGGTAGGGTCTCTATAGCCAATGTGGTGTATGATTGTTGAGGGCTCTCTAGGCCAGCAAAACTTCGGGTTCTCGACTTTCCTCTAGGGCCTGCGGGGTGGCCACAGGCCCTCATCAAGGACAAGGACATTTCTGAGATCAGCTTGTGTTGCCCGAGCATCTACACAGCCCAAGGACAGGCCGGAATCTCAAGGTTCAAGCCCCCCTTTTTTGTTACCTCAGGACCGTCGAAAACCCCAAAACCCCCAACTGCGACCTGCAAGAATTTAAGCTGATTCTACGCTAGTAAACTACTTACTACTTAAAGAAATCTTTAGATGTTCCAGGGGTTGGGATGAATTAGGGGTCCCAACCCAAAGCCTGCGCTCTGTTAGAGCTTTCGAGACTGAAGCCCCCCAAGCTTCGTGGCCCTACTGAAGCCTACTTTTTTTGCCCCCCAACAACTCCAGAGCTTTCTACGCGCACCTGTCCGATGTCCAGGAGGGGCCCAGCGCCTGCAACCCGTTCTGAGGCTTTAGGGTTTTAGGGTTTCAGGTGGTTGAACGTGCCTACAGCAACCCTCCGTTTTTCCCGCAGAAGCGGTTTGGGGATTAGGGCGCATGCACGGTCCGTAGGTTCCGTCCCAGAAAACACCTCCCTTGGGGAGGTCTCAGAAGTGGAACTCCACGAGAAAATCAACCCCAAAAAAGCCCCCCCCCCCCCAAAAAAAAAAGGCTTTAGGGTTATAGGGTTTAGGGTTTTTAGGGTTCCCTCCCGCCAAGAGCAGAAAGCCCAAGGGCCTAGGAGCACGACCTGTAAGAAGCAGACCTCGGCTGGCCCGGGTGTTTTGGGTTCTCTGGGACTTTTGGGCTCTCTGGGGGCTTCAGCTTTGTCTCCAGGACTGCTCGCATGATCCCGAAATGAAACGCATGCGTGCACGGACCGGAACGTAGAAATCATCGTCGGATCGAGATGAGGCCGGGCTGCCATCATCATGTCCGCCACATTAGCGACCTTCGTCCGCCAGGGCCATATCCCAACCTGCCGCGCGCCAAGGGCAGGGAAGAGTGGTTTTTGTTAGGGTTTCGACTCTCACACTCACACACGGCCGGCAAGGCATCGGTAGGTTCTGAGCTCAGGCTTCGGCTTTGGGTTGCAGACTCTAAGTCTCAGGCTTAGGTCTTCAAGGCTGATGAGTTTCTAGGATGAAAAGGGGGGGGCGGGAGGTCTTGAACCCTGGTTCCAGCTCCACCTGCAGGACGGCGCTGGCCACGAGGAGGGTGCCTTGGATGTGGCAAGTCCAAGGTTTCAGGGTTGACAATCTGAGGTCTGGTGGTTGCGAGCATCGGGCGTCTTTGGGAAACTCGGTTTGGGTGCCTTGGCAATGGTAAGGATTCAACTGAGGCATACTGAGGCCCAGTACCCTGAACCTCGAAACGGCCGCGAAGCCAAACCTGTCAGCTTCTCTGCAACCCAGAAGTTAGATCAACCCCCTTTGCTGTGTGGCAAAAGCATCAAGCTTGCAAGCCGAGGAGGGTCCGGCACAAACATGTCTCACACACGAACCAACCACAAGGCCCTCTTTTCGGGTTTCGGGGTTCGGAGCCTCATGGGCCAAGGGCCCTAGAAACCTCTAGAAACCTCAAGCCTTCAACTTCCTTAAGGCCCTAGATGCCCCAATAATCCCCTTAACAAAACGACTCAACCACTTAATAGTAATTATTAGACAACAATAATAATAGTAGTAGCAACTCGATTGGTGTTTGGGGCCCACGCCCATCAGCGGCACCTGCACGGCCGGGAGCGCCGAGGTGAGGACTGGCAGCCTGGGGCTTCGTTCGGCGGGGGCTGGGCCTTTGGGGGATGTTGTTTCGACTTGGTACGCTTCTCGAATTGTGCGCGTCATGCGCGCGCAGGTGTCATGCTAATCTTCTCTGTATCGTTCCAATTTTATTTAGGGTTTGGGGTTTAAGCTTGGGGAGTTTCTTTGGGCGTTTGGGGGCTTTTTGGGGTTTTCGGGGGGAGCTCATGTAAGGCTTAGGGCCTAGGGGGGGGGCAATGGTGCAACACGTTTGGCTCTGCCCCTTCCACCGGAACTTAAAAACCGAGGCGCAAGGCCACGACGAAGTTCCGCAGGAGCACCACCACGCCGTAGTAGTAGCGGCTCTGGGATCCCGGGTGCGGGGCTTGCGGGGTTTCAGGAGGGTTTCAAGGGAGGCGTTTGGGTTTTTTTTTCGGGGGTTGGGGGGTTTGGGATTTGGGGCCCCTGAGCCCTGAAGCACATTCCGAGACTTTGGGAACAGACAGAGAGAGAGAGAGAGGGAGAGAGAGGGAGAGGGAGAGGGAGAGGGAGAGGGAGAGTGAGAGAGAGAGCAGAGCGAGAGAGCGAGAGAGCAGAGCGAGAGAGCAGCGAGCGACAGAGAGCGAGAGAGAGAGAGAGATCTCGGAGTTTCGGCTGACTGGGCTGTTGGGTGTTCGGGGTTGAGGTCTTCATACGGCAGCCTAAATCGGTACGAACAGTATCTCCCTGAAATTACAGCTACAGTATTAAGCTGCTTACAACTCCAATGCTGTTTAACACGCCCCCCCCCCCCCCCCCCCCCCATAAAAAAAAATCACGCTCAACCTCGTCTGCCCAGCACCATCCCCACACAACGACTTTTCCAGCCACATGGAGACCTAGCTAGATGAAGATGGGGTACATTAGGCAACAGATCTTTTCCTCGTCTGTGGATTTAAGGATCTCGTGGGGTCGTTCTCCAGGCTCTGGAAATGGAGCTGGCCGAAGGCTTCGGTATAAAGCTGAAGGGGGTTGCGGGCTTAGAGGCTTACACCCTATCACACTCCTATAAATGCAAAGCCCAGTTGCCGGGCGAAAGCGCTGGAAGAGGAAGCGATGTCGGCTCACAGATCGGAGCCCAGCCCCAGTGGTGATCCACACGGGATACCTCTGGGCGAGAAGGGCTTCGGGTGGGGGGGTCTTGCTTGGCTTTCTTTCGCCCCCGCCCCCACCCGACACATCCTGAAAGCCTGAACCCTAATTCAAGGGGCTCAGGGGGTTAAGCTTTGGGTTTAGTTTTTGGGGACTTTGGAAACCCCAGGCGCATGATGATTGCATAGGCCGCCCATGTCAGGATGGCCACAGGATAGCAGATGAACCTTGGCAGCTGAGGGCCGTGCACTTGAGGATTCAGAGATCACCCCAGGCGTCGAAAAGGGCACCAGCATCAAAACCTCAAAACCCTTATAGCCCTAACCCCTGTTTGCAAAAGGCTTGCCACTTCGCCCGAAGTTGGTGCCACTCGACAAACCCTCGCCCTGAACCCTAAACCCTATTGCTGAACCCGGCAGCTGCTTCACCCACGCCTAACGACTAAACCGTTCCCTTTGAGCGCTTTGCCGTCCCGGGCTCCCCAAAAAACTCAGAAAGCCCTCAGCCAACAGACCAGACCAGAAATCCTGAATCAGACTGAAACCCGTGCACCCCTAAACCCTAAACCCTAAACCCTAAACCCTAAACACGCCATGCCACCCTGCCAGGGACAGGCCCACCATGGCCCGGTGCTCCGGGGAGGCGAAGCAGATGATACCAGGGTTGGTGGAGAGCGACCTGGAGCTTTCGAGGGCACTTAGGGTTTAGGGTTTGGGGTTGGGTTTAGGGTTTAGGGTTTAGGGTTTAGGGTTTAGGGTTTAGGGTTTAGAGTTTAGGGTTTAGGGTTTAGGGTTTTTAGGGTAGCTTTGCTGTGGGTTTTGGATGGCTTTGCGGCTCCAGGCCCGATAGTTTTTGGCACAACGTTAATCGGGGTCTAGAAAGCTTCCCATGCCTTGTTGTAGGCCGGTGGCTTGCTAACTTTATTGCTGGAACAACTCGAGCCCTCGACCAGCGATTCTTAACCCCTACGCCGAGACCGGTTCGCTTCTTACAAGCCTCAGCCCCTTCTGCACCCCCGTTGAAGCTCCTGACCCCTTAACCCAGCACGGCGACCATGTTCCATCCGGGTTCTCCTCGCACAGGAACCTGCAGCCGCAAAGAAAGTCGCAGTCCCAAACCCGTACTTCGCCACGACTTCCTAGAGGCTAGGGCTCGCAAACCCTAAACCCTAAACCCTAAACCCCAAACCCTAAACCGCTGGACATGGGGGTTGCAAGGCTTGGGCAGGTAGATATGGCCAGGCAGCACTGATGCTGCTAGACTGCTACACTACTCAAACTCACACCCAACTTATACGTATCCATGAGCCTTCAAAAGTAGGTCGCTGGCAAAAATCGTAACCATCCAATATGCACCCCACCCCTCCCCCCCACCCCCCACCATAAAGGCCATGATACACTACGTACTTTTTTGGGGGGTTGGGGGGGTACAGGGTGAGGGGCGAGCAGAGTACCGGCTCGTGACGATTGGCACTCTAGACCTCAGCCGAAGCTTTTTGACCCCAGGCGCGGGTCGGTCACGGTCAGCGTGAGAGCGATGAAGAGGGCAAAGGCTCCCATGCCCCAGAGGTTGAACCTGGGCGTCACACGTTGAGGGTTACGTCATCGGGGCGGGGCGTTAAGGGCAACCCGGAACCTGAGCCCTCAACCGTGTTTTTAAGGGTTTTGGCTTAGTGACTGCAGTGCTCCAGCCGCGTGAAATCCTTCAGCCAAGGTCACCTATTTGTCCAGATTCCTAGATGAACCAAGAAAGTTCGATTGCAACTGCAAATCAAATCTCGGAGACCCCGCAAGCCACGCCCAGAAACCTAAACCACTAAGCCCTGAGCACCCTGATTGCTAGAGCCTTGGGCGCTTAGGATTCAGTGGGGTTCAGAGTTGAAGGTTCCCAGTGACGGCAATTCTCCACGTTGCGTTTGTTTGGTGTTTCTCGCTCTTGCAGAGCTGGGCGAACCGCACTGAAGTTCGATGAACAACTAGGGCTAGCTCAATGGCGCTCTCGTCCGGGCGGCCCGTTGAAGATCAAAACTGCCAACACGGAGGACCCAACACAGATGGAACCAATGTAACTCGCAACGCTCCTATCAACGGGGAGCGCCTTCAGACGATTTGAACTACCATCCCCGCAATCTTCAATTCAACGCAGCTCGGTAAAGAGACGGACCAAACACAGATCCGAACAATGAAGTCCGCAACATACACAAATGGTTTAGCGCTTCGGGTAAACTAATTGCCCATGACATCTTCAAAACATGCCAAGATGCAGCGCGTCGAAGGCGGTTGTCCGGCCGCGCCTAAGTGGTGGAGGCTGGCGCGTGTATCAAAGCGTACTGCACAGGATCAAAGGCTCAAGCCATGTTTGTGTCACTGCCCCGCACTTCTCTATGCCTGCTTCCTGTTGGGCCCCATTTGTCGTGCTCACATACGCAACTGAAGCGGTGCCTTGAAGGCTGAGACCCAAAAGATAAAACTACCTAAAGCCCTCCTACAGGCCATCAGCTCAGCCCGATTTCCCACGGTCAGACCAGCGACAGCCTCGCAACCACCCACGCTCCTGGTTTGCGGCTTCGCTTTGTGTTGGGATTAAAGGTGTAGGGTGCTTGTGTGATTCCCAGAGCCCTGGAACTGAAGCCGACACCCCCTGGCTTTAACCCCAAGAGACGACATGCCCTGGCTTTAACCTCAAGAGACATGCACTTTGTAGCCGCCTGAACCTAAAAACCGCAACCCACCCCAAACCTTTCGCCCTGTGCACACTCTAACCTTAAGCCTCCAAGGGGGGGACTGGGGTCGTAGTCAGGCTAGATCTTCTACTGTGGAAGCCAACATCAAGAGTTCCGGGTCCAGGAAACTGGAGCACCATAGCCCTAAACCCGGA